GCTAGTTATTAACTGCTAAAAATCACACGACGGTACAGTATCACTAAATCGCTAAAAATCACACAACGATCACGTCGCCGATCGTTCTAGTTGTTAATAATGAAATTTTATCACGATTCTCACAACTCGTAAATACATTCTTGAGCTTAATAATAATGTTGTGCGAGTAATTATATACACGAGTAATTATGTACGCTTTCAACATTGAATTAATCAATTAATTAATAAATACTAGACTACATTACAATTGGTTGCACGCATGATTTGAAGCTAACATTATAAACATTTAAATTACGAAAACCGCAAATATAAATTAACTATGGTGATGCGTGTACATTGATTTAATTAATATAATGATCTTTCATTAATGTAGGAATATCCACCGGTTAATAATAAATCAAAATCGAAGCCCAGCTCTCGCGTGATATCAACAGACGGTGGCCACGGGGATAGTAAAACTGATACAATGAATTCCAGCAAACACTCTTCAGAGAAAAATAATCACGATGGTAATTCAGTGAACAGGACCTCCACGATGACGTGAGTATTCTGTATAATTTCGCGATAAGAATTGATATCATCCATTATACTATGTCTTTAAATTTGAAAAGAATTCATTAGAAAGCTTCATCACGAGAAGCTCTCCCTATTCATTAAACTGAAGGACTTCAAAATCTTTTTAGTTTACTTTAAGAATACTTCACTTGGCTAAAAACGATTTCTACTTAAAGTATACTGGAAGATTTTTATTCCGCTAATGAACTGTTCAACATATGTAGGATAATATTGTATTATATTTTAACTATTAGTCTGATTGGATTCTTCCAATTATGAGTAACATTAAATCCCCTCTTCACAGTAATGGTACGAATGCGAAGCAAGAATCAAATCCATTTGAGGAAGAAGAATGGGACGAAGATAGTGGTGAACCATTGGTGGATAATGGAGAACCCGGTGTACTCGTGCGCGCGTTGTATGATTACGAAGGTGCCGAGGCAGATGAACTTAGCTTTAAGCAAGGTATCACATTCAAAGAAAGAAAGAAAAAAAAAAAAAAAAAAAAAAAAAAAAAAAAATATT